CCCCCCCAGCGAGATGAGTTTTCTCTTGGGTAGGTGAATCCCGAATAAACTGTCAAAGATAGCCTTGATGGATAAGTCTTTCAATCTCCTCTTTTAATTGCCTACAGGCTTTGACAGTGTGGCCATGACTACGATGAAAGTGGCAGTATTGATCTTGATTTCCTATGTTCGGCTTCAAAGGATGTGGCCATTTCACCGTATCTTGATCTCGAACAGCCATTAATACATTTGCTCGAGAAATATTAAGAGGAGTGTACTCTTTCTCCTGTTGAGGTTCTCATCGTGGCAATGGAGGCCTAGGAGGTAGATTATTCTTCCCTTGCTTCTTTCATTGTGAGGATGAATTATCCGTCTCAGATACACCCTTGCGCTTCCCATTAGTTTGCTCAAATTATTTTCTATGGGCATTTATGGCTTCATTTGTCGAGATTTGAGCTTCTACACGATGAATCAAATTGGCATATGAATGAACAGTGTCGCGCATGAGTGTCGAATAGAAGGGGCCAGGGTGAAGGCCTCCAATAAAGACCTCTCTCAATAGTTCAGGATCTACTCCTGGAATTTATTGAGCTTTAGTGGAAAATCATTGAAAATACTCCTTCAATGATTCTCCTTCATTCTGACGGATCCCAGCGAGGTGGGAAGAATCTTTAGCTATCCTTCTATTGGCTACAAACTGCTCGACGAAAGCTTTGGCCAATTTGACAAATAAGGGGATCGTTCGGAATGAAAGCGAATAGAACCACGTTCGAGCCTGTCCTTTAAGGGTGGCAGGAAAGACCTGGCAAAAGAGGGCTTCCGAGGCTCGCTGAATATGCATGATGGTTCTATAGTGGTCGATATGCTCATATGGGTCAGATGCCCCATCGTAAGGCTCGATGCTGGGCACTTTGAATCCTACCGGAATGGTGTGTTGAAGAATAGCTTCAGTTAGAGGTGATGACTCCTGGAAGTCCCTCTATTGGAGAGTTAGTCTCACATCCCCTCGGGGGAACACTTTCCGTACCAATCTTCGTAGTTCATGACATATAGCATTATGAGGGAGCTCAGCAATGTGTGGTTGGGTTGAGTCTTCTGGGAGACCTGGAAGAACGCAAGGCTGCCGAGTTGAGGGCGAAGGATGTGTAGAACTTGTTGTATCGGCAAGTTTGTTATCCTGTCGTGACTGCAGACATCTTCTTGGTGGAGGAAGATGTATCTCCACCTGAAGATGTTCGAGTTGAACATCTTCGGCTAGTGGTGGAGCTTGGGGGAGAAGAACTTCCTCCTGTTGTAGTTTTGCAGGTTGCCTAGTCTCTCGTAGGAGTTGAAGGATCTCGTTCTGAGATTCTTCCATTTTTTAGATCCTCTCTTCTAGGGAGGGTCCCGAGGTTCCTTCTCTAGCAGCATTTTGCCTCCCAGGATAAAAAGAGGCAGACATCGGACGTCTATGATTCATTGACTGATTTCTGGACTGGTGGGAGTTGGAGCGGGAAGCCCCAATGATACCACTGCTACGTCTGTTGATCATTGTAGCAATAATTGAAGTTGTGGGATAATGCTTCCCATAGATGGCGCCAAACTGTTACGGACTAGAATATACGTGGCGATAAAGTAAAAAAAATTCCTTCTCAGCATTATACGGATATCTAGCACACAAACAGAACAGGAAAAGAAACACCATTATTTTTACGTGGAAACCCTGAAAGGGAAAAAACCACGGGCCTCGCCTAGTTGAAATAGTTCCACTAGTATTTTGTTTGAAATACAAGAGTCTGACTTGTCTATAAAGCTAGGAAGATCATATTACAATAAATATCTTCTAAGTTGATATTCAATTACAAAGTTGTGCAGAGTTCTTGCGCCACTAAGGAGATTGGGCAGAATTCAGGTGTCGTCCAAAAGTTGGACTGAATTTTAGCGTCACTAGGGTGGCGGGAAGAACTCCGGAGGCGGCGGTGGTCGAGGAGTTATTCCCTCCTATCCTTCTCTTCTGTTCTTCTCTTCTTCTTCCTTTCTTCTTGCCTTGATCCCCTCTCATGAGAAATGAGGGGTCTATTTATAGATTTTATGGAGTGGCATAACTCGTAAATAGGTGTGAGATCAGGGGCAAGTAGGGAGTGGTCGAATGGACGGCTGATATTGAATCCCTTGATCGTGCACCATTCATCAGATATTTGAAGGTCTTAATGATGTCAGAATTTGGTGATCTTGGGCTCGTTGGATTCATCTCAACGATCCGTTCGATACGACTATAAGCTCGTTAAAATCGAAGACCGTTTGGTAACTCGAATTATGGTAAGAACTTTCCAACAGCACTTCGGGTGCTTGATTTGGGCTCAAATTGAGTTGAGTTTGGTGTTGTTGGGTTCGTATTTCCAAGACGCTCAATTTGACTATAAGCTCGTTGAAATCGGAGTTCAAGTGTTCCCAGATTTAATTTTTGAAGTTTTCGGCTTGATATTGCCTCGAGATTCGTACTTGATCAAAATAATTTTTTGAGAATATATCAAGAACTATCTCCTTTTACGAAATTCATGGCTTTTTTTTAAAAACATATAATGTTTTCAATGGTTTAACACAGAAACTTAAATGTCAAAATCTGGACTGAAGATATATGGAATTGGTACTGGAACTTGCTTAAGTTAATGTCCCCTAGAAGATCAAAAATTAATATGTTGTTCATTCATTTACAAATTACAACCAAACACTGCGAGACAATTTCTATTTTATATGTGAAAAGTTAAAGAAAAGATAATTTGAGCAAAAAAGTGACAAAAGTCTTGCCTTTTCAGTAAGATGAACCAAATTAAAATGAACCACCATAAAAAAAATTCCTTATCATAGTTGAGAATTCTTATTCCTATTTTATTTTATGTTATTTATTTAGTTTCTACACCAAACTATTCTCATCAATTGGAATGGCATGTAAGAAATCACAAAACCAATAATTGTGTTGTAGAATATATGAATCCAGATAAAACATAGAAATAATTTTTAGCATGACTTAAGGTGAAATAAATGAAATGATAACAGTTAATTCAAATATTTTCATGTAACTTCAAAAAAAGGAAAGAAACAAATTTAATATCCATAATTTTGCATGCGAGTCCACATGAATTGAGCAATTTCATCCCTTTTATCGAGCCATTCTCGTGAATCTTCTACAGCTGCTTGATCTCTACTTCTAAAGTGACTCCTTCTAGCCCATTCATCCTCGGATTGAATGAACTCATCCCCACCTTCTGTAACTATCCAATTATGCAGTATGCAACAGACAATCACAATTTCAACTTGAGTTTGTAGAGGAAAGTAGGGTTCACATTTTATAATTGTGAAATGGTTTTTCAAGGAACCAAATGCACGCTCAACAGTAGTGCATAAGGAGGAATGTTGTAGATTAAAAAGCTCATTTGAATTTGTAGGTTGAATAGAACTAAACTCCTTCAAGTGATATCTTGTGGCACGATATGTTGAAATAAAACCATTTCGTGTGGAATAGCCACCATCAGCTAGATAATATTTACCTGCTGGGACACGTAAACCATCTGATCTTTCTAATGCATTTTTAAGTACTGCTGCGTCATGAGCAGAACCTTCCCAACCAGCAAGCACATATGTGATTCTTAAATCAAAATCTACTGCTGCTAAAACATTTTGTGTTAGGGATGGTTTCCTTTCTCTAAACGCGACTTCGTTCTCTTTTGGAACCCTAGCTTTAATATGAGTTTCATCTATCACGCTAATACAATCCTAAATTTGACACAAAGTATATTTAGGATTCCGTAATACATAGAGAAATTTTAATTGAATAAAAATTGATTTTACGTTGAAAAATGGCATGAACCTATTACTTGATTTAATCTTATATGGAGTTTCAGGTGGTAGAGACTTGATAAATTCATTGCGTAACTCCCCTACAGCATGTAATGCAGCTTTGAAGTACCTACTAACAGTTTCACCAGAGCGATGAAAGTTAAATCGGATGACTCGGTTACGAAAACTATGCCCGAGTGTATCTAATAACATTGCAACTTGTTCCTTGTCCGAACATTATTGTGTCTAACAACAATCCTCGTGTACGCATTAAATCACATTATTTGAAAAAAGGCGCTCGCCTCATGAGTACCATGTCAACACAGTCAGAATCACATTCATTATACAATCTAGAAAGATATGTGTCACGTTGTATATTCCGTTGAGGATCATAATTTTTTTTTCTTTTCGAATCTTCGATCTGCAATAGTACACATACTGTACTAATTGCAATATAAATCACTTTCATCACATCATTATATTTTTTTAATTTCACGGAGTTCAACAACATCTTCCAATGTCTCAACCATCTTTGTAACTAATAAATTCAACTTAAAGCAAAAAATATATAATTAAATCATCCAATTTCAACATAGACATGAAAAATAAAAATATGGTAGGATGTAGATTAAGTTATTGCAAAGGAAATACAATAACAAAAAAGGATAACTGATGGAGAAGGAAAATGAATAATTTTAGTAAATCAAACAATTAAAAACATCCATTTACATATTGGACATAAAAACATATCATTCTAATTTAATTTGTTCACTGAATTTTGGTTTATCTTAAGTCAAAGATGAAGTTAATGGTTGAAACTAGGGATTCCTCTATCTGTAATTGCATTTGAATCTGCACTTTACAATTTATGTCAAATTGAGAAAATGTCTTAGTATCTCACATTTTCAAGGAATTGCATCATCCTATTGACAGGAGAGGAATGGTTAGAATTTCAACAAAATAAACTTACAATTATGCTATTTGAGAGCTTCAAATCCCACACCTTTCTCCTCTCAGGAAGCCTTCTATTTTGGGCTTGTTTGAAATTACTAATCATGTCTTATATAAGCTGATGAAGTTGTTAAATCATCATTTGGTTGGCTCTAATAATCCGTAAATAATGATTTCAAACTTCACAAATCTTTTCAAAACTCCCACAAAAATATTTAATTCATTTTTCGCATTCACAATAACGAACAAAATCATTACTTTTCAAAGCATATTTTCTACATACAAGCAATCAAATTAGTTCTTAAGAAGATGCTAAAACCATTAGAATTCATCACATCATTAAAAAAATAGGTGCTGATTGCACAATTTAAATTCAATGGGAAAGACGAATATAATAATCAATAGGTATGTCTGTAAATATTGGAGCTCTCAAAAGTTGTAAGAAATTTTTTTGTGGTCCTAAATTAGTTGTAACATTTTCATGCTCTCTGGGTCGTGCGAACAAGGAGAGAGACCGGAGGAAAGAGATCTTCCACTGACTGGGCTTGTGCTTGTGAATCAAAGGAAATCGGACGAGGGAAATGGCTCCATGTGTTTCAGCTTCTGGAATCCTTACTTCCGATGAAAATGTCGCAAATTCCGCTCGGACAGGTAAAGGGAACGTCGTTGAAGGAGTGAAGTCGAACGAGAACGAAGGGGCGAAGAAGCTCTCGTGCAATCTTACACCTCATGCGAAGAAATGAAGCCGAACAGCAACGACGCGAAGGAATTCTTCGTCGAGCGAATTTATAACCCGCTCAATATGAGCGGATTTCTAATTCGCAGAAAACACACACCGTAATACACGCCTAATGCTTCAGGGGGTTTCCTTTTATTCCGCTCAAAATTAACCAAACAACCAAATTTAATAAATACATATTTGTTTTACTTTATACTCTAATTCCGCCAACCAAACAGAAATACTGCCGGGCGACCCACCGTCGGGCGTGGCCTCGGAAAGCACGTGATTGTGAAAGATCAGATCTGTGAGAGAGGGTAGAGATGCAATTTTGACATCCGACGCGAGAACGCTACCAGTGTTTGGATTCTCAGATCAGTCGCCGATCAGAGTCATGATCTCGCAGTTCTTTGTCCTCTCTCAAAGAGGCGACAACATCGTTTTTCGGGATTGTAAGATCTCTCTCTCTCTCTCTCTCTAGGGTTTTTTAGTAGTTTTCTATTGGCACGCATTCAGATCTTGGATGGGCCCTGCTTAAGTAGTAGTGGGCGGAATCAGAATATATGGGACTTTAAGGCTCGACTCCTGGATCTGTCTTCTCTTTGGTTTTAAGTTGCGGCCATGAAGTCCCGGAAAGTCACGCTTTTTTTGAATTCATGGATCAGAGCTGTTTATGATTAATGTGGTTTTTGTTTCTCTGACTTTATTTTCTATCGGAGTTTTGATTTCACAAGGATTGAGTTTAAAATTTGGTTTTATAAATTTCCTCTAGAAATTTGCATTTATTGCTGAGATTGATCATGAATTTAACTATTCATTTACAAGATTTGGTGTTACATTATAGTTTATATTGCAATTTTAGGGAAGTTCTACGGAAAAATTTCTGGTATTTGAGGTTGACGTACTTCCATCACCTGATCCATTTTTCTTTGGCATGAAGTACCTTGTTTAATGCTCAATCATGCATCATCCATATGTAATCAATGCAAAAAAAAAAGTGAAACAAATTCACAATTTATTGAAATCTTTATTTGGGAGATCCTTTTGAGTATTTCACCCACAACTCTTTGGGCTGTCTAGTCACACAGAAAAAATCTCATAGAAATAAGGTTCTGATTGGGGTGATTGTAGCTATTAAAGTATTTGTAAAAACTGCATTGAGAAATTTTTTGAAAGTTATTGTCGGTCTTTTAGACTTTCTCCCTTTTGAAGAAATCGGATCACAACATCCTTCTATCTACCACATTCTAGTTTATTTGATTACAAAAAACTACTTCTCACAATTTATTTTTAAAAACAACAAGAAAGTTATAATCAAACAAAGGTATGACTGTTGTTTGAAAGCAAAGCTATGGAGAAACCGCCCCAAATAGACCCTAGGGATATATGGTAATTTGAATGTAGTTTATTGTTTGGCTCGACATGGAACAAATGTTATAAAATTTTATCTTTGAAAATCATTTTGAGTGTTACAACCATAACTTTGGGTACCATCTTTAGTAAGGTAGGGCTAGCAACAATGTAAGCTAAAAATTGGCAGAAGGTACTCATCGTGTACAAGATTGTAAAGAGTATAAAGATCCTTTTGAACCCAAGAGCCTTGTGGTCCCATTCTAAATGTTGTGAGCTTCGCTGCTTCAAAATTAAAACATACACACATACATATATATATATGTATAATTAAACTTATTTAAAAACTGAACTAAGGGCTTAGTTTTGTAGTAACATAAGTCACACTTAATCAAAACTATCACTCAAAACAATTTCCTGACTTCATTACCTTCATGTTTCTTAGCCCAAACACAATTTAACCATTGTGTATGGGTGAACACAGCCTTTAAAGTGTCCTTTGCTTCCAATATGTTTTGTAGAGTCAAGTATGACGTAACAAATCTAGCATCTACAGTTCGTAAGAATTTTTTTTTTTTAACTTCATCATCAAAGTCAAAACCCAACTACGATTGTAAATAAATTTGCTAATCTTCTTAGCTTTTGTCAAGACATTATTACACTGAGACAACTCATTTGTCAAGACTTTATGTAGCACATGGAATCAATTAAATATGATATTTCGTTTCCATCAACTCATTTCCTATTGCCTTTTAAATAATAGCATTGCTAGGAACTTGGACCACTAAATATTCTCTAGTCTCCTCTATAATTCTATCAATAAGTTCAATAATGACTCTAAATACTTCACCTAATATAGTGCTACAACAAACTTCAAAAAGTTGTTGTAGGGATTTTTAATTAGAATATTGATCAAACTCCTATTTTTAATTTCAGACTAACCATCAGAATTCAGAAATGATTGTGACTCCAACTTTTGTCTAGATTCTCTTGATCCCTTCAACAACTTTCTCAGTGGTATTCAACTTCTTTGATATCTAGGTTCTGAGCTTATGCATGTATGGATGTTTAAGGTCTCGCCGATAGGAACATATAGAATGAATATGTTGACATAGGATAAAGAAGTTATTACATTAAATGGAATTACATCTTCTTAGAATAATCTACCGATATCCATACAAACATGCCTACAACAACAGTAGCAGCAACAAGCCAGCAATAGCAACAACAATAGGTTTTTATCCCACTACATTGGATCAGCGACATGAATCCTTTTTCTCCAGTTTGTCCTAGTAAGAGTCAAATTTGCATTAAAATCTAATAAAAAAAGGTTATTTTAATACTTTTTAGCGAAGTCCTTTTGGTATACATATATCTTTCTTAACATAAGCTCGATCTAATACATCTACTCTTAACAAGGTCATTGAAAGGTTGATGTTTTATCTGACAAAATCATCTAAGACAACTCTATTTAGTCTTATCTGCTACCAGAGCAACTCCAACCTTTTTGTGTATATGCTTGTTTCATATTTTATCTCTAAGTGTAAAACCCCTCGTCCATCCAAGCATTCTCATCACTATAACAATTCACTTAATTTTATGCTTATCTTTTAATGGCCAACATTATGCTCCATAACGCATTGTAGGTCTCACCACCTTGGTAAAAAATTTCCCTTAGGTCTGAGGGGCACTTTTCTATCACACAACATGCTTGATGCATTCCTCCACTTCAATGATCCAACATGAGTTCTACTAATAATATCTCCATCTATTTCACCATTACTTTGAATAATGGACTTAAATGGCTTTACCCAATATCACAATTCCACAATTAGATATATTACTACTAAATTTACACTCCATGCCGAATTTAGATCTACTCAAATGAAACCCCTTAAACTCTTAGGTTGATCTCTATAATTCAAGTTTTCCATCAACTCTCCCTCTAATTGTATCAACAAGAAGAATATCATTAGCAAAAAGCATACACCAAGGCACATCTTGCGATGTCTAGTAAACATTAATGACCAAAGCAAAAAGATATGAGCTTAAAGATGATCCTTATTGTAGTCCAACTGAAATAAGAAAATACTTGATCAAACCACCTTGTGTTTGAATACTAGTAATAGCTCTTGTATACATATCCTAATGACTTGATTATTATTAATTCCTTTCTTTTCTAGAACTCTTCAGA